TGCTTTGCAGACATTTGATTAATTTCAAGACTGGCCACAAAGGGATTTCAGTCAGAGAACCATTAAAAACCAGCTGTTTTGTCCCTGCAAAACAACACTTGTTGGTTAGTCTTGTGCTCGCTGGTGACTCACTACACGACGAAGTTGCCCGAAGTTCTTAGTGAGAAGTTGTGACCAGTGGAGTTGGGTATGACGAGGGCAAATACTCTTCTCTGATGACATTTTATCGACGTCGCGTTATATATTAAGAAATGGCAGAAGTTAGAATCTACGGGTTACTTTCCAGTGTCCGGATAGTCAACAAGCTCATCTTAGAACCTGAAGATCCCGGGTCCGACTCCTGGTTGGGTCATGCGTGCTTACTTCTGAAGAGTCCCAGAGCTCCATGGTTTTCAGTGGTTCCATAACTGAAATCACTTCGTGACCATCCTTTATATTTGAATAAACTCGGGACATTTTGGGTGGCAAAAGTCAATCAGATATTTCACAACAGACTTTCTTGCAAATGGAAGAGAAGGTTATATATATATATATATAATTAGACACCTCAAAAAGGTCTAAAGATAGTTTCATTGCAGGTTGCTTAGCTCACCAGTAGAAGGCTCGCCTTCCTCACACATGGTTTGTTTTTGACTCTTACTTAGCTGGTAATCATCTCAACAAAGAAACGAGGTTCAGAGTAGGGCTTGCAGATTCGCAGTCTAAAAAATACGACCTCTATTGAAGCTTCAAAACTCAACTTTGAAGCTACATGTTCTTTTTGCATGACCTTCCGAACTCACCCAAAGTTAACTTCATTAAGTATGCTGATGATCTGACCGTTTCTGTCCCTGTAGTTTCCACATCGGGTTGTTCCCATATGAATGGCTTCTTAGCTGAAGTTAAGGATTGGTCTGGCTCAAATGGTCTTAAACTAAATCCAACTAAATGTAATACTGTTGATTTCAGCTTGAGAAGTGAAAAAGACATGCATGAACTGATCCAGTCTCATGATTGTTGTAATACTGATGGTACCGTGATAGAGAGTAAGTCAAGTGTTTCTTATCTTGGCATTAGTTTCTCTTCAAAACTTCGCTGGTCGTCTCATATTCTTATAGTTTCTAAGAAAGTTTTCCGTCTGACTTACTACATAAAGAAGTTGAGGCACTCAGGTATAACCCAATCTCTTCTCATACAATTTATTAATTCATGTGTTTTGCCCATCATTCTTTATTGTTCTCCATTATTCTTCCCTGGGCTACTCAAGAAAGACCATATAATACTACGAAGAACATTGAGGGCTGTAAGTAGGGTCAGTGCTATCCCTTTGACTCAACTAACCGACACTGTTGTCAATAGGCACATGAATTCTTGTAAACACTTAGCTAAAGTTATTTTGTCTGATAGTGAACATCCTCTTTATTCACATTTGTTTCCTTGTATCTCTTCGGGTAAGACCAGAAGAAATTTCATAAACATTTATGCTCGTACTACAAAATATAAAAATTCGACCGTACCATATTTGGCACGAGTATTGTGTGAAGAGACGAATATCAGAAAAGAACTCTTACAACTTTTAAATCATTAACTAAACTATAAGATGTAATGATGCATATTATTGCATGTGTTATTTCTTATATTATTTATTTATTATTCACTATGACCTAGCAATGGTGTGATTTTGTTGGGGTTTTTATTTTTCCTATTAACTATCAATATTTTAACATTTTATACATTTATATAATTATAAACAGAGCTAAACCATTGCAATATGTAAAAGAAACGCTGAAAATTCCATGCTGTAAATTGTTATTGTTGTGGAATAAAGTGAATTACTATTATTATTATTATTAAAACACGTTGATGCTCTTTCTGGTGTAAGAATCTGAAACTGATTCTCACGCCTCTTGTATTTATGTAAGAAAATTAAAAACATTACATCAATGAGATGCATTACCTTCAAGGAATCCACATTTAGGTGTAGTCGCACAATTTAAGAGAATAATACAAGACTCATTGATATTGCAGACATTTCATATTGGATACAGATGGCAAATAAACGGTGTACAACAGACGTCCCCTACTAATTAACTCAATCAACCCAATACTGTATTCTTTATATGAGTATTAGAAATACCTGTCTGTATTTTTTTATGAAAGTTATAACTATTGCATTTAGTCATCTATAAAGCTTTTACGATTTATGGAACTTTCATTTTCTATTATATTCAGGAATTTATCACCTTTAGAATAAAAGTCAATCTGAACGAAGAATATTCTTTTCAATAATTTCTCTTCAGGTTCTTACATTTATTATGGATAGACAGGACTACATCAGCAAGATGAACTCCATACTAGCTGACGGCAGCAAGTTTCAGAAGCCGAAAGCAATGAAAGATCATACGGAGAAAGTAGAGAGAGAAATAACAAACTTATTAAAGGATTTGAAGAGTAAGGGGTATATATTACATATGACGTTCACTAGCCGCAAGTTGTTCTCTACCTCTGTAAAAGATAAGCTCCCCCGTCTGGCCGCCTCCATGTGCATCTATCAGTTCACCTGCTCTTGTGGAGCTAGGTACATTGGCCGTAGTCAGAGGACGCTTTCCACACGGATACGAGAACATATTCCAGCTTGGTTTTATAAGGGAGAAAGGAAGTGTGTGAGAAGCTCTATTTTGGAACACCTGATCGACTTCTGTCACTCTGTCAACCCTGACCATGATTTTAAGATCATATATAGAATCCATGCTAACTTCCCGCCTTTTCTTCGTTACAGACTTCTAAAGACAGCTGAGGCCTTGGCAATTCATGACTTTAAGCCAGACCTTTGTGTACAAAAGAAGTATGTACAATCCCTACTTCTGCCTTGGCCGTAGAGGGATAGACATTTATTTATTTTGTTTATTTAGTTATTCTATGTACTCTTCCCTTATTACTATTATTATTATTAATATTATCATCATTATTATTATTACTATTCTCACTCTGAATCTTTTTCACTTGACCCAGTTGACATTTTAAACCCAAAATTATTAATTTTTATATTTTTATTTTTACAATATTGAATTCTATCTTATCAAATTTCACACCATGTTATGTAACATTTTATATTCGTCTACTAATCTTATAATTATGTACCCCTTTCCAAAATTCTATACACCTTATGTATTATTCTATATACGACATTAATTATTGTGCCACTTGACATTAAACTATGATTATAATCACAAATATTTTAATTGCATTTCATACTATTATTATTTCATGTATTCACACCTTTGACCTAATTCCCTCACCGGATATAATTTCTTAAAAAAACCCATATATATACGATTGCACAGCTTGATAATAAATTCGTTGAAAAGAGTCTCTTCGCTGAATATTGTGTTCTTAATGCTACAATGGGAATTATTAAATTAGGGGTATATATCACCAAAAACTTTCGGAAACATTCGTTCCGTAGACTGCATAGAGAAAGAACTCCAGGTCATCCGAGACATTCTAAGGGAGGACGGATATCCAGAGAAGTTCATTAAAGCCAACATAGGTTACAATATTCGTAAACATGAACTGGCAACGGTGGAGAAAAAGCCTCTGAATTTACGTCTCCAACTCAAGGGAGATACTCCTGCGGAGATTCTATCACAATGTTTAACCAGGGCGATCAAGAAAACTTTCTACTCTGCACGTCTGTATCTATCCTTCAGTAGCCGTCCAATGTTCACCCAGAAACTCAAAGATGTCTTACCTAACCTCAGCTCTTCTTCATGCATATACCATTTCAACTGTTCCTGTGGTTCAAGTTATATAGGGCGCACGATTAGGCAGGTTCGTCTACGGGTTCGAGAACATTTACCAGCTTGGTTTAGCAAGGGGGAAATTAAGTGCATGAAAAGCTCGATCCTGTCACACTTGGTCGATACTGGACATCATATCGATGTCAACACAGCTTTCAGGGTTATATACCGAATTCCGAAGTCGTTATCACGTACAGTTTGCTTACGTCTGCTACACATAGCTGAAGCTGTTGCAATAAGATCGACTAAAGCAGAACTTTGTATCCAAAAAGAACACGTCCAGACACTGTTCCTACCATGGCCAAACTTGGATTGATGATTCTTCTTCTCACCAAGAGTGCTCCTTCCCCTTAACCCTCTTGGTTTTTTCCTTTGCTTATTATTATTAATATTATTATTATTCATCATAATTTATGCCCTTCATGCAAACATTCTTTCAATACTATCAAATTTTTCATTTATACTATCCGGACTTATTATTAGTGATATTATCTCTTTTCTCAATATATGCCTCCACCTGTTTCATTTCACATATTCGTTATTTCATTATGAACCTCTCATTGCAGTCTTACTATCTCCTGTTAACAACACTTTGTACTAGTCACTCACCTAATACCTTTTATAACCTTGAACTGACTTGTCAATTTTCCTACCCCACACTCTACAAATCTATTATGATTAATCACCACCATTGTCTCCCGTTTTACAATATTTTGTAATCGAATTCAGCCTAGCACGTTTGTCACACAAATACGACTATTTATTTTGACACCCCATAACTAATCTGTTATTCTACGTTAAAAATGTATCCGCCGCATAACTGGCCTTTATTGTAACGACAACAAATATGATATTTTTTATAATTGTAAGAACCTGAAAAGGAGAAATTATTGAAAAGGATATTCTTCGTTCAGATTGACTTTTAATTCACAATATGGGAATTTTCCACACTATCAAACCTTTAGAATACTCTTAGTTGTCCCGTAACCTTAAAATAATCAGACAGAGAGTAAGAATTACAAAGTTCTAATATAATAAATAGTACCCAATCACTCATCTATCCCTCTATTTAGCGAAATAACTTTCACTAAGAAAAATTGCAAGCAAAGAAAATGGTTATAAACACTTTATTATTAATAATTGTTTGCATAGAAAATATTACAGTCCATGAGTACTGTTCATATACACAATGATTCACCAAGTTTAGTTTATAGTTTCTTCTCAGTACTTGTAATAATCACCACTGTCACCGTTGTACGATTCCCCTTCAGCTTCATAGTCATTCGGCGTCTGTCCATATTCACCTTCATTATTATTATAATTAGTATAATCATAGGTTTGATAATCTGTTGGTGCTTGTCCTTCACCGCCTTCTCCCTTGCCTCCTTCACTGCCTTGATAAGCAGCATAATCAGCATAAGTTAATGGTGAATAACCAGATCCACTATTCGGTATAAAACTTTCAGCTGTGTTTGAGCCTTCTCCACTGTATCCATACTGTGTTGGCCAATTATCGTTATCATAACCATTGAATTTTCCAACTCCATCAAATTTACTTCTACCCTTCAGACGACTTTCTATGCCGAATTTCGCTTTCAACTTTTGTCTTCCATAACTGTACACTTTACCTTTAGTTTCATAATTTGAAAATTTTCTCTTCGATTTACTGCCTTTATGAAAAGTTGTAATTTGATGATAATTTGAGCCTTTATCAGATTTTCCAATGGCAAGAAATTTTCCTTTAGTGATTACTTTACCACTTTTATCTTTACCGTATGCTTTACCGCCTGAGTTGTAATCATAATCATTATAATAATTATTATTATAGGTATTATCATAATTATTACTGTAATCTCCAGTGTAATCATTCGGATAGTCTGAATAGTAATCTTGCGTTAATACATAGGATAAACTCATTAGTAGACATAAATAAATACACTTCATTCTCATTGTTACTCTTTTGTAAAGCTTTTATTTTTTATTGCAGACGTTTATATATATATATATACACAACACATATGTAGCACTTTTGTATGGAAAAAACAAAGTGACACGATTTCTATTTCTTTAAGTGAGTAAGTACACAGTTGTACTCTAGACTGGTTAATTTATGATGAAGCAACCTAAAGATTGCTAAGTGCATAACATTTTAAAAATGTACACGAATCGATTTCTGATTGAATGGTTAATTTATTGTGAAGATTTAGTTCAAAATAATGGGTAGTGTTAACAAGATTGAGTGGTTGTTTTCTCCTTGGATTTTCCAGTTATATAATTGGAAATATTCTGTAATTGGAATAATTCTGATGTTTTGTCTAAACCACTTGGTGACCAATAAGCTAGTTTTGTGCAGTTATTCAGTATAAGGCAGTAGTGTGTATTGTGAAGGTTTCATGTATGTAACTTTAACGTTATTTATAGTGTCAAGGAGTTCAACTAGCAAGTGGCATGGAACCTTCATGACTCTAAAGGAAGTGATGACAAAAATTCCGAAACTTCAAATCTAAATAAAATGAGATTGACACATCGTAAACCTTAGAAACATGTAGTAAGAAAGATACATGCAAAAGTGATAAACAGATTATTATATTTTTATTCCTGTGCATTCCGAGTGGAAGATTGGGCTTCACGATTATCCATAAGCTTTGATTTCTTCCTTTTATGATCTCCCTTATGTCACCCTCGGACACATAATCAACTCTCCGTTACCCATTCGCGTTCCACTAGATGCGTGGGTCGTGACGTCACAACACTATCTCTTCAGCTTATGTTAAGTTCATCTTCATTTTCTTCGGCGTATTTGTTGCGCGATGGGCACTTGGTTGGTTCATCACACTGAAGAGTTCTACATCGCCAGGCCTTTCTGGCTATGTAATCTTCAACGTGGAGGTGGAGGCAGCTATTGCTAAAAGTGTGCAACTGGCTGTTTGAAATGCTTTTGGTGACAGGTTAACTCTCTGAACAATATAATGGAAGCACTGACTGGTCATTAGTGTTGAAAATTCGCATCTTGTTCTTTAAGCTAAATACAGTAGGTTTCCACACTGATTTCAGATTAATAGAGGTCTGTCTTGCATTCCCGACCCCAGATGTCCTTAACATCCTCATCTCCTCCTCCTGTAATTCAAACAATGTTGTCTAGATAAGTGAAAGAGGTGACTGTTACATGACCTAATCAATCACAACAGGAATATCATCAGTGATAGGTTGTCTTGTCTAACTCATTCTTCACTTCAAGTTGTTCATTGAGCTTTAGGTTGTGAGCCACTTTGGCATGCGGCATCATCGTGCAGCCGTTGATCGAAACTTGCAAATGTGTTGTGGCAGTGGATTTTGTTGTATTGAAGCTGTTTCAGAGTCACCTTATGGTTGGTGATTTTTAAAGCCCTTTCAAAATCGATGAAGTTCAGCACCATCCTGCTTGGTGATAATGAAGAGAATTGCAATTCGATCGGTATATGATTTACTTTTCCTGAGTCCAGATTATTCCAGTTGATGTTTTATATCCAAAAAAGAAAATGGGAATCACATGGTAAGACGGTGAAAAAATCAATATTTTACAGGATTTTCATCATGAGCTGACATTAGTTAGAGAACCATTGGAAAACCTGCAGGGAGTACTGGACAGCCATTTCGTCCTAGTTTAGGACTCTTCAGCAGTACGCATCCACCGGAATTCGAACCCAGGACCTTCTGGTTACAAGGTGGGCTCGTATACTATTACGCCACTGGGACCCGATCCAACGACCCATGAATTCTAACTTCTGCCATTTCACGAGTCCCAAACTAGGACGAAACAGCTGTCCAGTACTCCCTGCAGGTTTTCCAATGGGCTACCGATATCCATGCTGAAAATTCCATACTTGTACTGAAAATACGGTGTGGCATCAAGCTGTAATCAAAATAAAATTTTAAAAGAATGTCAGCTCATGATAAAAATCCCGTAACCAATCAAATCCCTACAAACCAACACTTGAAAATCAATATTTTCAAGAGAAAGAACTCATAAATTCTCGGCCGTTCTGCTTACATTCTCTTAGATGGTTCATGTAAGGTTTACACCTGTTAAGCTGGCATAAAATTCGTTTTGATTTAACTCTTACGCTCAATCATTTCACAAATCCAGCTATTTTGATATAATTAATTGTCAGTGATGCGTTATTATCTTTTTGGTCACAAGATGAAACGGAGGTATTCTCGTAGTTTTATTATTCCTTTAGATTGAACTTAATTGTTGTTCTTCTAGTATCCCTTTTAGAGGTAACATTACTCGTGGTTTACAAAAAGCTTCTACTGAATTAAACAGGATGTTGGCAGGCGGTTAATTTCATTGTTCTTTTTGTTTAAATATACACAGTATAGACATTCATTAGGAAATTGAGACAGTAAGAGTGAAAGAGGTATTTGTAGAATTTATAATCAGACACAAGAATTTAGCAGCGATCAGACACTCAGATTGGTGTTGACACTGCACACTTGTTGACAGTACTCAATCAGCATCTTACTATGGAATAGGCTAGCGACAGTAGTTACGGAGTTATATGTTCAAACGTTGTGACCATGATTTTGCAGGATTTTCATTAATTTCATTGAAGATATCGTCATGAACCGACATCATCTAGAAAGTCAATAAGAAGTAGGAAGCAGAAGCCCCTATTTTTGTCCAAGTTTGGAACTCTTCAACAGCGCGAACACAGGATTCTACCACGCACTTAGTCAAGAGTCATCAGCCATTGGCTTAGAATTCACTAAGTAATGCGTTATAACTTTGTCTATTGGTGAAACAGTGTCACCGGAAGAATTCATGACCTAACCTAAAGATATGTTGGGATAAATACAAACTGATTTGAACAACAGAAACTATTGTAAAAATCTTAAAAATTGACAACTTCATTTAAACTTACTGAATTATTATTTATTTCTCCCTTGAACTGTAGATTTCACGAATGAGTGGATTCAGGCCCATGTGTCTCGATGGTCGATGAATTTGAACTCATTATGTGAAAATCCTGGCTGTGATCTCTGGTACACTCCTGGGGGTACACTGCTGAAGAGTCTAGAACTAGGACGTAACAACTATCCAGTACTCACTGCTTATTTTCAATATCGTCTGACTGGTGTAGATTTGCTACAAAGTTTACATTGAAATTATTTCAAATGCCTACAATAATGGAAAATTCAAATTACCTTCATTATCATTGTCACACTGTACTACATTTGCTGCAAAACTGATTACAAAAATAAACACTCCATTTTCTAATCTCTCTCAGACAGTAGTTGTTTCCTTCCTTTTACCTCTACAAACATACACATTCACAATGATTGAATATCCAAAATATATAAATCCTTGCATGAATTTATTCTTGTTATTATTTTGCATATGATCCTCTTGATTTTTATCCATAAATTCTGTTAATCACATCAGCGTGAAATGTATTGTTATTATTTTTTCCTTTAATTCCTATAGGAACATAGGGCTTCAGCCGTGCGTCTCCATTGCGTTCGGTTCTCTGCTACAGTCTTCACCTGGCTCCGAGTCTGTCCACACGTTTTCATCTCCTCTTCGCATGACCTCCTCCATGTCACCCTTGCACTGACGATCAACTCGCCGCTTCCCTTTCGGGTTCTACTCGAGCAATGGCTAGTGTAGTGATGTCACTTGATGCATTGTTTCCTCAGAGTATGGCCAATCCATCTCCATTTCTTCCTGCCTATTTGTTTCACAATCGGTTCCTGGTTGGTTCGCTCATTGCCAGAGATCTTTGTTGCTGATCTTTTCTGGCTATTTGATCTTGAGTATTGATGTGGTCAGTGCTAAATTTTATTATGTAATTATAAATAAAGCATGAGCAATAACGGATGCACTGTGTGCATAAGAAACAGATTCAGCCACTATTGCTGCCATTTTCCTCTATGGAATCCATAAACTTTAACAAAACAATAAGATGTAATTTATCTGAAACGTGAGTTGTATTTGCGCATCAAACTTTGGACATTCTGACCACACACCGGATTACCACACTTATTTATGTAGAAGGCAGGTCAAAGTTTCAGATAAGAGGTAGGAAGATAAAATAATAAAAAATATGGGATAAGAGAAAAGCGGTAAGTATATTATTAAGTAAATTGAACGTTGGTTCTAAAATTGGATTTCCAAGGCAGGTTTCGAGTAATGAGGAATAATATTTAGACACATAAAACAGCTTTTAGCCTTTTTATCGGTAAGAATTGCACTAATTTAAGTAAGTGACTCAAACTTGTTTTGTATATGTGTTTAGAGGTGTTACTTAAATTGACCTAATGACCTGTCTGTGTGATGTACCCTGCGATAGATGATAATGGATGTCTACTTACAGGATTAATTGTACCCGGTGATTTTATTTTTTGTTCCAACCTTCTGTAGCCCTTACCTGCGCAGACTGATGCGTCCTCAAAGTGTGTACATATGACCACCTATACATGTAAATTGGTAAACACAATGTGATGTGACATTGTCGTTCAGATGTCATGGGAACGTGGCTTATGAGACAACATAAACCTCGTTTTCCCCATGAAAATGCGCTTAGCTGAATGGTAAGTTCTATTAATTGCCATCCTGAGTCTTCGTTTGGTGTAATCAGACTTTTGTGATTACTCTTGAACAGTAAGAATAATAAGAACATACTTTTTGAGAGCTGAGTGGATCAACGGAGCCCTTTGTTTGATACTCTTGCAGAGTTTAATGAAAAATTCAAGGGATATTTTTTTAAAAAATTAATGATAAGAAATCGTCAAAAAGCAAAAATACGTATTTACATTAAACTGTGTGTGCTGTAAAACCAAATTAATTAACCACAACGCAGTTTCATCATTATCAATCTCTTCTTCTTTATATGATTATTTTAATCTTTTTGCACTTGTTGTTATTGCTTTTTGTCGTTTACACAAACGCATATTAAATGATAGTCACACACACACTATACGCTAACTGATTTATGTACTGAAATGTTGATAAATATACAAATAGGAATTAACTATATAAATGCGTAAAATCCTCAAACAAGTTTACTTGATTAGCTGAACTATAGACTATAGACTGTAAGCTGGCCAGGATGAAGTTGCTGTGCTTTGTTTGTTTATTATCAGTCATTCCATCATTAACGCTAACTGCTCAGTACAATTATAATTACAACGATAACTATCAGACTAGACCAAATAACGGTTACAGACCGAATAACTATAATCACGTCAATAATTACAACAGTGATAATTATGATTATAATAGTAATAATAATAATAATAATTACAATTATAATAAAAAGAAGAATTATAATTATAATGATTATTACGCTAATCAAAAGCCAAGACAAGAAAAACTAACACGAAGATACACCATTGAAGGTGAAGCTAGCCACACGCATAATAAACATGGAGAGAATCATTTAAAAGCGATTGGCGCCATGTTTGGTTTCGGTGAAACTTATCAAACATCTGATTATATACAGACAACAACATTTCATAGTGGAAGTATATACGGGAAAAATGGGAAAAAGCGTAAATTTGCCACCTATGATACAGAAGGTGAAGTGAAGCATAATCAAAAGACAAAAGGAAGAGCCAAATTGAAAATGAATGCTAACCTATATGGTCATGAAAGAGTTGAAGACAGGAAAGATCTTAAAGCTATTGCAACTTATGAAAATGATAACAGTGCTATTGAAGATGATGATGTAGCGAATTATTCGCCTACAGAACATCCGTATGGTAAATTAGAAGATTATCAAACACCAAGTTATACTTCAGATAGTGCAAAGCTAAAATATTGAATGTATATATACATTTATATATTTTATTTATGAGACTGCTTAAATAAATTCTTTATAAATAATCCTTTTCTATTTACTGCTCATAAGTGTAACATGTTGAAGAATGATACATTAGGTCTACATACTTAAATTTCAATAGGGAGGTTATAGTTTCGAAAAATGCTACCCCTACTCAAGGCCCAATAATCAGGTAGTAAATATCCATTGTACAACATTGAATAGACACTCAGATATGCTACACTTGTCGATAGGTATTAAAACCTGATTTTCCGAAAATGCTAAGTAAGATTGTTAGTCTATTAATAGAATGATAGGAGCTAATGAGATGAGTATAATCCTTTTCTATTATTGAGGTCTTGCCATTCATTCATAGTGAAGCTTATTTGGCATAAAAATACACCAATAAAGAGTAGACCAAGGCTTTCATTATTAAAACGTCTTGATTAACTCCCTGAGCAAGTTAATATTCGCATAAAAAATGCTCATGAAAACGAAGAGCATACATGTAATTTGAGTGCGTCAGTGGCACAGCGGTTAGGACGCTCGCCGACCATGCAAATGGTCCGGGGTTCGATCCCCGGCCACAGACGCACTCCTTTACCTCGCCAAGCAAGAAATAAAGCTGGTAAAGAGGAAAGGTTGGTCATGAGGCTAGCAACTTCATCCGGTAAAAATAAACACCACTGCTACAGAAACTTCAAGCCTCTAGCTTGAAGTGGCCCTATGTTCCACTGGGAACGTGAAGGAAAAAAAATACATGTAATTTGGAATAAAGGCATTCAAGTTTCTTTTCTCAAAATGTGTATAATTTCTTAAAACTCGATCTTGCTTGAGCTTTGGGCTTCCAACAAATTCCCCTCTCAAAAGAGATATATATTGGTTCAAATTATTCCTTTTGTTTTAATCCATCCAAGATGCATCCTCATCTTGGATGTTTTCACTCGCGCTATTTCAAAACATTACAACTTACATTTCTTTATGTTTCGTTCAAACTCGACAAAGACAACATAGTGGGTAGTAGTGAGGAATGAATCGCACAAATATACATGAAATGGATGTCTCTAAATTAGCTAGCACAAGCCTCAGAGTTTCGTGGTTGTTTCTTTTAATTTTATTTGTAAATATCGCAGAAACTAACCTGTAAAAGCTACCTTCTCTACGGTCGTCTTTGACTAAATGAGGAGGATTCAGATCTTTAGAGGGGTATCATTTCCTTTCTGACAAGTGCCAACTAGCACGAAACCTAGGTCAAGAGCTTCTTGCTGATTGCCTTTAACTTCCTGACACAATGAGATTTCGTTTCTTTCTTGAAAATAGTTGCCGTTTGCTACTCGAATCAGTCAGAGAAGAACAAGGATGATATCGCTTCATCACTCAAATTATTGTATACAATGACGCCCATCGGAAACTATATTTTAGTAGTGCTTACTACTATAATCACACTAATTTGAGGTTTGAAAAGCATTTATTAAATTATTTAGTATTATCTAGGTATCGATTTTTCGTTATGGACGATTCATCACTAAACTTGAAATCATTTTCAGCACTTACCTCGTTCTTTTTTCATTTTTAAATTGTAACAGTTCAGTAAATGTGTCATACCGTTCATTTCATTTCGTGGTTTCTCCTCAGCGGCATACAACTTGTAACATTTGATAAAACCAATTATCTATAGTTTGGTTTGTAAGGGTTAGTTATGTTTTACGGACTGATATCAGTTAGAGAACCATTGAAAACCAGGAAGTAATGGACAGCTGTTTCATCCTAGTTTGGGAATCATCGGCAGTACACACCCACTGGGGTTCGAATTATAGTAAAGTTTTAGCCTACTTTTATTTATCAGTAAAAATCACTTTTGCGGTAAGAAATATTGTAACAATATCATAGTGAAATAAGACATAGATTTAACACAAAAACAGGCGCGTAATTTATAAATAACACAATCCATTTATAAAAAATAAAAACCCAAGTCACTAATAGTATTTAGGAAAAAAATTTCACAAGAAATAATTCGGTAATAATTCTTTGGAAAAAATACAAAACAGCTAACAAGATGAACCCCTGTCAAAGAAATCATAACTCAGTTTCCACAGAATTTTTAGCTTCTACTACTTATATCAACTTCTGTAAAATAAACGATCCTACTGAAGCGTTAGGAGAACATTAGTTAAGAAAGTGAAAGAATAAATATAGGCTTTAATAGATTTTGTGTGACCTTTATCAAACCATGAAGGGAGGTGCTTAGTAATGAGTTTTTAATCTCTCTAGTTGTTCGTCGAATATACGTTATTCCACAGGAGCAGGTAAGTTGGTAAATTCAAAGAAAAGGAACATTGCTAAATAGTTTATTGTTTATCTGAGGAATGATAATTGTTTGGCTAAAAATTGATAAACAAGGGGGTGATAGAAGTATAAGTCAGTTTAATGGTTATAAATGATCTTTTACATAGAAGTCCACTAACTATGTCTCTGTTGGATTTATCCTTCGGGTAAAACTCTTTCTTTGATTGGACACTAGTAACTAGTGTGATGTGTCTAGTCCTTTGTTTGGTGCAGACTGAATTCTATCAGTCAGGTTTGAAATGTGACCACAACTCTAGGTGGCTCAACATCATGGTGCATATTGATTTGATGATATTAGATGGTTGGGGGGGGCAATCGGCAGGAGGCCTTGGACATAGATTTCGTGATAGATGGCACTCGTCAGCAAGGCATATATGCAACAACTCTTTCTTCCTAACCATAGTTACTTTCAATTTACTGCACACGGTGTTCGTGCATCTCTTTATAAATCTACTAGGGTAACTCATTTTGATCAGTGTATTATGGAAATCTTCTGGTTCGTAATCCAAGAAATCATCCATACAGATCTTTTCTGACCTATTGGTGAGGCATTTATCCCATCTGGTTTATTGGTGAATGGCTATGAAACTGAGGAATGTTATACAGTCCTAAAAACGTTGTGTTTCTATACATATCTCTTTTGAGTGGATTATCTGAACTTTTTCTCGCCTAAACAGCAAGAAAATGTAATTTACTATCATGTTATTCTTCACAAGTGAAAATGAGTGATCGATATACATGGTTAAGTTTCATAAGCAACCTGTTCTCGCCTGCTTTCAGATCAAGAATAATAAATGTATCACCAATATAACCACATTAAGAATTCAATTGATCTTTTGCTTGTTTAAATGGACCATTTCAATTCGGAAATAAGTGGAAGTAAGACTGACAGATAGAATGCGGAATAATTCGGAAGAGTATAAACTCTTTGAAGATACATCTCAGCATAAGTCACACCTTAAACCAGTAATGTGGGAAGAGTAATTTAAACTGGCAAAAGCCAAACGGGATGTGAGTAAATACTGAGAGACAGTTTATAACAAAGTCAAGTGGTTTTAATTTTGTTGTATTGCAGGGGCCCTCATACAATGGGAGGCGAATTCACCCGGGATAATGACCGCCAGATTTAACTCAGAAGGAAAGAAACTGACAGTTATATAATAAGCTGGAATGCTATGCACCCATAAACAACGCAGACCTCGAAAAGAAAGAAGAGTTCTGCAGACAACTACAGGCAACAGTGGACAATACTGCAGTCGGTGATATTAAAATACTAATGGGAAACATGAACGCCAAACTGGAATCAGACAACACAGGAAGGGAACTAATCATGGATAGAGAAACTGTCGGAGAGATGAATGAAAACGGAGAACTCTTTGCTGACTTCTGTGCCTTCAATGAAATAGTGATTGATGGCAGCGTATACAAGCACAAGGATATCCACAAGGCGACATAGGTGTCACCAGACGGGCGAACCGAAAACCAAATTGACTTCATCTCAATGGTCCTCAAGGAAGTGGAGACGCAGCTTATTGGTCACAAAAGTATGAAGAGGAGCAGACGTTGTCTCAGAACACCATCTCGCACAAGGGACAATCCAAATCAAATTAAAAGCTTTCTAAGAAACAGGAACTGCAGATAGACCATAAGCCAAGTTCAACACTCAAAGACTGAAGGACCAGGATACAAAGGACATCTTCATTGCAAACATAAGGAAAAAGGTGGAGACACAAATCAATACTAGCGAAGAGACCAGCATTGAAAAGCACTGGACTAGCCTGAAAGCGGTGTGGAGTCAAACCTGCATGGAAGTTTTAGGCAGAAAGAAGAGACAGGACAAACAGTGGCTCACTTTGTACAAATGGAGACTAATAGAAGAGAGAAGGATGTTGAAACAAATATTATCCAGTGCATCAACGAGCAACAAAAACAGGAGTTGAATGCAAGCGACAATACACTGAACAGAAGAGTAAAGAAGAGTGTCAAAGAAGACAAAAGAAAATATTATGAAGCTATGGTAAGTGAAGCAGAACAAGCTGCAAGCAAAGGAGACCTCGCAACACTCTAACAAACGACTAGGTCCCTATCGGGGAAAAGTTCAACACGAATTAAGCCAGTGAAGGATGACAGTGGAAAGCCAATCACCAAAGAGGTGGAACAAAGGAAACACTGGGCTGAACACTTCAAAAGACTCCTAAATCGACCGCTACCTACAATGCGCTCAATAATACCAACAGCGAAAGCAGAACTACCAGTGGACATCAATCCTCAGACGAGAACAGAAATCCTGAAGGAAATAAGGAGCTAAAAGCTGGAAAAGCAGCAGGACCAGATGGAATCCCAGCAGAAGTACAGAAAATGGACCCAGAGACAACAGCGAACTTGATGACGCCACTACGGGAGAAGGTGGGGAAAGAGGGCAAGGTACCTGCAGATTGGAACAAAGGCTACTTATTCAAACTGCCAAGGAAAGGAGACTTAAGTCAATGCAAGAACTGGCGCGGGCATTGCGCTCCTGTTCATCCCAAGCAAAATACCAATCCGCATCATCCTGGAGAGAATCAAACACGTCCTGGATGAAAAACTTCGACTGGAACAGGTTGGATTCAGGAGGAACAAGTCATGCATCGATCAAATCGCAACACTACGGATCATCACTGAACAGAGCTTAGAATGGCAGTTATCTCTCTCTCTCAACTTCATTGACTTTGAAAAGGCCTTTTGCAGCATCGATCGAGAGGTGCTTTGGCAACTACTTCGCAACTATGGGGTGCCACCAACAATTATGCATCTCATCCAGCAGTTGTACGACTATGCTGCATACCAAGTAATCCTCAACGGGAAACTCATGAAATCCCTCGAGGTGAAGATGGGAGTCAGACAAGCCTGGCTGCCTACTGTCTACAATGATTTTCCTGATTGCAGTAGACTGGATAATGCGACAAACAGTGGGCAATGAGGAGACAGGCATAAAATGGACCCACACAAAAAACTTGGAGGATCTGGACTTCACCGATGATACATGTCTTATTTCCCACAAACTGTAAGATATGCAAGTGAAAAGCAACAAGCTGGCAAAAGAAGCATCCAGAGAAGATAGGACTTCAGGTGAACAGAGAAAACAGAGGTGATGAAGATTCCTGGCCAACACCAGCAGCAACAACAACAACAGATAACAATCAGCCAGCATGAATGGGAGAAACATGAAAGAAGCAACCTCCTTTAGCTACATGGGAAGCATCGTTTCAAATACAGGCGGACGGAACTGACGAGGATATCAAAGCAATGATCGGGAAAAAAGGCAAGCTTTCATTTCTCTCAAGTCTCTGTGGAGGTTAACAGCACTCGCATACAAAATAAGATCCGTTTGTCCAACTCCAATGTGAAGTCAGTGCTATTATATGAATCAGAGACCTGGCACGTCATGAGGAGCACCTCAAACAAACTACAGACCTTCATCAACAGCTGCGAATCTTTGTTCATTACTACTCAAGACCAGATAGCCAGCCAGAAAAGATCAGCAACAGGGAGGGATCTCTGAAAATGAACGAACTAACCAACCAACCTAGCAGGAAGCAATTGTACAACAAATATGCAGGAAGAAATGCAGGTTGATTGTCCACACTTTGAGAAAACAAACCATCATCAAGTGACATCTATCACACACCAGGCGATCTCTCGAGTGGAACCCGAACAGGAGGCAGCGAGTTGGTCGTCAGTGCGAGGTTGACATGGAGGAGGTCACGTGAAGAGGAGATGAAAGCATGTGGGCAGATGGGGAGCCAGGTGAAAACGTTGGCAGAGAACCTAGCGCAATGGGACGTGCGGCTGAAACCCTATGTTCCTCTAGGAACTAAAGGAAAAAATAAGAATAAATAATAATAATTTTAATTGATAGCCACGTCTACTCTTTGAATTTCATTAGTAAGGTGAAGAGCTAACTTCTTGATTATTAAAACTAAGGAGGTCATAAAAACGTTAATATAGGCTTAATTCATAAAACCAGCAAGGCTTAATTATGCGTGAGGATTGGTAAAGATTCTGCGATAATATGTTAAACCATTAGAATGTTTGCGTTACATCATATTTAGACAACTGCGTAATTGATAACAGCAGTAGGATATGCTTTTATTTAAGTAAAAAGCATAAATTGGATTGATTTTAACTTGATGCACTTAGTGTTATGCGCAGTCATAAGATTTAGAAAATGAAACAGTGTTATATGATTTCATAGGATATCATTCAGCATGTATATAAATAGTACAAAAACATACAACATAAATAATTCTAACTGAAATATTACACAAATATGCTGCACCGTCCGTGTTATTGTCTATCTTTGATTTCTGTAATCATTCTTGTCTCAACTCGTCTATGTTCTGGCTTCCACAGGCATGGAATAGACGAAGCATTTTACCACTCGAAAGAAGCTTCAAATTTTCCAGTGGAAGCAATCCATCGTGATGCTCAGTATGATCATACAACTGGCGGTCATGGCGGTGGTTATGGAGATGACTACGGTGGATATGGTGCAGGATATGGACAACACGGTCATGATGATTACGAGGCCAATCTAGCAGACAATTCTATCGCGAGATTAAAGGAAATCCATGCAGGAGCAGGTGGTGTTGGTGGTCCGCATTACTCAGATGACGATGGATATGACGATTACAATGACTATGGAGGCTATTAAAATTAGAAAATGCAGAGTTATTGAACACTGCATCACTCATGTTATCTAAATATTAAATATATATACAAATAAAAATAATATAACTGCAAAAGATACTCTGAGCCCTCTCATACTTTTTTACACTTTAATAAATCTATTAAATTTTGATGTTTTTTTAAAATAAATATTATTTATACTAAATTATGCACCGGTTTCTTTTCGCAAGTATATGGTGTCACAGAAAAATGAAATGTAAAACGAAAAAACCTGTTGTTGAATATATATATATATATATATGGATCTTGTTTGTTAAAACATAGAACAAATTGTTAAATCTGAGGCTTGACTTGCATAAAACCATTTTCAGTTGGCATTATTTGCATACTGTAGACTGTAAAACATTGTTATTATTTCCTTGGTTTCCGAGTAGTATATAGATCTCCATTTCACGCTGTTCTCTAGAGTCTTTCGTTTTGTTTGGCGCTACGGTTGAATAGGTATGAATTGATAAGTGAAAAACACAGAGAAAAGTGTTTTATGAAAACGTCATTCATTACTAGGCAGTAATATTTGTAGTTTTTTATGCAGGGATGAGAGCGTACGGAAACATTTTTCATCGGTCGAATACCTAAAGGAAGTATTACAAGAAAAGACCGTCTTCACAAATGACGAAAAGACTATTGTTATGAAAGATAACTCACTTTGATTCTTAGAGACATTATAATGCAGTTTACCTTAGAGTGAGATAATATATGTTTAGCGCTTATCAGAAAGAAATCCAGATAGACTGGAGATGAAGCTTTGACAGTCCCGTACACCGTAAACTATGGGGATGACTTTTTCTGAGTAAATAGTTAGCAAGGCAATTCATACTCGTGTTCCAAGCGAAACTGTTGTTTCAGTATTTGAATAACCTAACGCTATGTGACAATGATCTAACATTGAAAACTGAAGGAGTCATATATTTGAATTCACCCAAATACTGGAGGTAAATTCTATAATTTCAAATAAGTATTTCTGTTCCACATCTTCGCGGAATAAACACTTTCCTGCAAGCCAGTCAAAAAGAACTCAGACTATAACAGTATGGGAGTGCTGAAGAAACAAAAGCTGAGAAAAATACTTTTTTCAGCAACATATCATGAGTCCTGTTTGATGTCATTATAAGTATCTAGATAGAAACACAAACATCGTAACAAGAAAACCAGACGGTAGCATAAATGAAATTTGCACAGAAAAAGCACTTGGACAGGACAATATATACACACTTTCACAGCTTCGTTCCTATCAAGTACAAAAGAAATTTAGTGAAGACCCTTAGCCACAGAGTTAGAGCTATATGCTCACAACAAATAAAGATTAATTAAGCATTGTATATGATACTTTGATCGAAAATAGCTATCCTGACAAATTTATCAAGAAACACATGACAAAGAAAGCGGAAAAGGACTACTCACTCTCCGTAAACAAGAAGCCACTTTATATATGACTGCATACAAGAACGATATACAAAGTGAGATAATCACGAAGAAATTAAGAAAATCAATTCAAAGAACATTTAATGCTGGCGAACTACACGTCTTATTCTCTACGCGACCGATAATGCTACCTCGACTGAAAGATGAAGTACCTAGACTAGCTAGCCACTTCAAATTGTATCTACCAATTCAACTGCGCTCGTCGTGGAGCGAGTTTTATTGGTCGTTGTTGCTCTAGGAACTTGATTTTCCGTACCAGCTTGAGAACATCTCCCACTATGTCTGAGTAAAGGTGTAGTGAAAAACCACCAACAGTTCGATATTGGACCATCTGGTACAAACCGGACACAAAGCCAGCCAGCGTTGAAGAATCCTTCTCTATTATCTACTGGGTGCCTAATAAATAGCCAAAATCATCATTGAAGCACCGCATGCTCCAAACAGCAGAGGCTATTGCAATTCACCTCAAACAACCAGTGCTCTGTGTTCAAAAGAAGCAAGTCCAGCCCCTACTACTGCCCTGGCCAGCCTTCAGTAGAGACTATAAGTTCATGAATTTGTACTCTTACCTTTCCTAATTCTTCTAACATTCAGTTTATTTTATGTTGATGCTGTTCAGCTGTAATTTATCAATATTATTGATTTGATGTTATTTAAACATTAATGTCGTTCATAACACTAATTCATTCATTCACTACAGTGTGTATATAACTGTAGAACCTGATGATGAATTAATCGAAAAGAGTACTCTTTGTTCCGTGTCCATTCCTTTGTATATAGAGTTGGGAATAATCTCCCGTAATCAGTAGTATATATTGTGTAGAATTCTGTTAGGTGAACTAATTTCCTTTTCTGTCTCACATGTCCTGAACACTATAGTTGAAAGTAGTATACTTAGAAACTCTTTGTTTTCAACTTCAGCCTACCCAAAATGGGCAGTTTCAGGATTCAGCTGACCGGTACACACATTTATTTTGTGAATGCTGAAGTGAGTGTAGCACAATTCTAACCCGGAATCTAGGAAATGAAAACGGAGTACCCCATAGCATTCGTTTCCCTGTCATAAATTTCACCTGGCCATATCACTACTCATAAACACTGACTTCCTCTTCGCATAATCTTCATGTTACCCTCGGGTCCAAGCTCATTTCATCATTAACCATTCGTTTTCCACTCGATGGCCTGATGTATCACATCACATTCAGCCGTCTCCTCAAGGTATGTCCACTTCACCTCTATTTCCTTCTGCATTATTTGTCAGTCAGTAGATTGTTGGTTGGCTCGTGGCCGAAGTTTCTTATTGTTAAGAACACATGATTCACCAAAGGGATGTCTTTTCATAATTTCAGTTGTTGTTATTTATTGTGAAATGTGAAGCTTGTAAATAGATGCAACTCAAAACCTGCAACTACGTGTGTATACTGATTATTGTCATCGTATATTCATGCCTTTCTAATGAAGAGCAATCAACAAAAAGAATATCGTCCATTGAGTAAGCTAGACTCAATACTTTATAATGTTAGCATAACAACCGCATTATTCGCTCGTGAATAATAAAGTCAGGGAAATCAAATTGAGGGTAAATTTAAATTAGATCGGGTCCCACTGGCTTAATGGTCTATGAGCTCGCCTTGTAACCAGAAGGTCCTGGGTTCGAACCCCGGTGGGTGCGCACCACTGAAGACTCCCAAAGTAGGACGAAACAGCTGCCCAGTACTCCCTGCAGGTTTTCGAATGGTTCTCTAACCAATGTCTGCTCACGATGAAATCCTGTAACCAGTTAATCAAGTCCCTACAAACCAACACTTGAAATTTAAATACAGTAGTTGACCAACAAGAAAATGAGATCAAATCAATATGTGTAATAAAGTTGAATTATAAGTAGTATAGTTAGCTGGTCGGCAAATGTTTCTTTTCTGTTGAAGCCATCATTATTTTCTTTAAGTTCATTAATTTCAGAGCAATTATTTGAAAACATGTTGATATCATGTGGTGAATTTATCAACGGTGTACATGAGAATGGGATATTAGTTGTCGTACATTTTTATATGTAGTCTGCTAATGCCACACACATACTTGCAAGTTATCACAGATGTTTCCGTAAACAAAGTTGGCCAGGAACTGAAACCCAGGGGAAAGTCGACAGTTGTTTCATCCTAGTGTAGGACTTTCCAGTAGTAGGCACCCACCACTCATCAAGGGTCGACTTCAAGACTTTCAGATTGCAAAGTGAGGTCGTTGACCCTTGAGCCACTGCAGCAGAACCCAATGACTCATAAATTGTAACTTCTACCATTTCGCTTCTGAACTAATTGACATTTTGATGTTAAACACTGAATGCTTCTTATATTTATCAGTGGAAATAAAATATGACTGAGCAGACTGACACTAGTACCTATTACAGGGATATCTGAAGTACACAGTTTTCAAATTGAAAATTTGAAGGCAGAAGATATGCAGATTTTCGGAATTTCTACATTCAAGTAATGGTTTTTCTGATCTAAACTTCACTGAATACAATAAAATAACGATTCTAGTGTACCGCAGGTGGATAAGCACCGGAAAGTTGTATTCGTTGATCTTAATTCCGGGTCTACATCCTAGTGTATCATTCTAACACTACAAGTTTCTGTCTTCCACTGCTTACTATATCAGGATTTTGATGTCCTATCTTGTTTTTAGAAGCTTTTTCGTGAAAGCGTGTTTTCCTAATGATAACGAATCACGTAGTTTAGCGAAGAGGCCGTTTTTGGCAAATTCATTTTCTTCTCTGTGAAACAGTATTATTTTACTGGATGACAAAGTTTCGAACAAAATTTATTGTTCATAATCATTTCATCAATTATAATCACACAACTTCGAAACTTGAGTTTTATAGTTTTCTTTGTTCTCTCCTATTTGTCGTCGTTGGGGTAGTAGAATTTTCCAGATATCTGGGTGGACAGGTGTTGAATCATTCCTAGTACATGTATTTGCAGTTGATTCGATAAACAAAGCTTCTGTTATCAATCTCTCCCTCCACCCTGTGACATTAGATTTTAAAACTGTCATCTTATCCCATCCTATTGTATGGTTGTGTGTAACTGCATGTAGTGAGTGGTATAGCTGAACTATTCTCTAGATTTCTTATCTTATTCGGGTCAACCAATCTAGATTTTGCTAAGTTTTTTATGTTCGGCTAGTCTGACTGCCTCTGTTCTACTACTTTGACCTATGTATTTGACCTGACAATCATTCTAGGATATTAGATAAACTAAATTGTTTTGTTTTAAAGGCTCCACAAGCAGGATCCTTTAGCCGACAAAGCTTGTTTCTAATTGAGTTTGTGGGTTTGAATGCCAGCCACTTTTATTCCTGCCTTGTTAAGAATTCTGCGTAAGGTTTCCGAGGTTCCTTCCTTGTATGGAATTACTACTGATGATTTAGATTCCTTATTGTTGGTGTTGTCTTGCGCATATTTGACATGTATGTCGTCATTAGTACTATTATTATTATCACTATCATTATTTATTTTATTTTTACATTTCCCTACATATTTCTTGACTAATTTATCAGGGTAATTATTAAGTTTCAAGGCTTCTCTTATATGTATCACTTCTGTCTTAGATTTTCCTTGGTACTACTTAGTTTTGTGCTCTATCACTTAAACATTTCACCAATCCTATTTTTACTGACATAGGATGGGATGATCGGAAGTTCAAATATCTGTTTGAATGTGTGGGTTTCCTGTAAACACTGGTGTTTAACTTCCCATCTTCTTTCCTTTTTACGCTGCAATCTAACATTGGAAGCTCCCTTTCCTGACTTTCCAATTCATCATAAGTGAATTGAATTGCCTCCACCTTTGAGTTAATGTGTTCAAAAAATCTATCTATATCCTGTGTTCTAAGTACAGTGAATGTGTCATCTACATACCTCCACCATACTTTTGGGGTGGATTTACAGTTTTGCAGTTACACACAACCACACAATAGGATGGGATAGGATGACAGTTCGTCTTGTTAACTCCATATCAAGAAAAGGAACTTCGGGATTCACATTCCATTTCTAGGGTGAATTTTATTGCCAGATGGCGGTTGTTAAATACTTGTAGTAAATGACTTGGGTCGTAATTATTGTCACAAATGATGAAAATGTCATCTACTTACCTTGTATGCAGTTGTAAATTGTCAATGGTCGACTATTATCGACCGTTCTCGAGAGTTGTTCGTTTCATTAAAAGTGATTTAAAACAATATAAATGCATGGCCATATTTTCACTTCATTATTTTATTTGGTTTCCATGCCTAGAAAACAAGATAGGGGTTTTTTTCTTCAAAAGTTAGCGCAGAGATTGGCAGCACTCAGAACACTGAGTGTTCAGTTCATTCAGTTCTTCTTTCTTCGTGTTTCACAGGCTTAGTGAGCGCATCACTAGAAGTATACTTTTATCGACAGTTGTCTTCACTTCATACTGAAGATCAGACAGCCTACTAGACAGGGAAAGTAACAAGGAACTCTGATAGAGCAACAAAACAGCCTATGATCTACTGGCCAATAAATATGCTGGAAGAAATGGAGATGGTTTGTGGATAGGTTGAGGGGACATTCAAGTGATACCGCATTACAAGCCATTTAGTGGAACACAAATGGAAAGTAGTGAGTTGCATGTCCATGGATGACATAAAAACCCACTGTGTGAAGAGGAAATGAAAACTTTTGGGTAGTTTTAGTGTCTGTTGAAAGTGATACAAGGGGAATAGAGTGGAGTCGATGTGTGCTGTTGAAGCTCATCGTTCCACTCGACTTACAGGAAGAAGCGAATAAAAAATTATGGAAGTTTGATTCATTATATTCAGAAATGATAAAATATACACTTGAGTGAGTAGTTAACAATTTCGCCTCAAAAATAAGGGCTATTATATTGATAAGTAAGGATGAGTCTTCTGTTAAAACAAAACAAAGCAAAGAAGAGCAGTTTTTAAATTTTAAATTAAGAAACGCTGCCTCTGTTAACATAAATGCATTTTAATATACTGCGTAAAAACTGAATGCTACGCAATATAGTTGACCTATTTGTCTCATCGATGTTTCTGGTCAAATTTAACTGATAATAATTATTGACAAGCTAGTGTACTTAGCAATTGTATCATATGACTGCGATGCCTTTATTATGTTTGTATATAAACAAATGTTATATGGCAATTGCTTCATTAGCAATTTAAATACAAAGAAGCCGGTTTTTTTCATCCATTGACTTCTATTTAACAATGATAAGACTTTTAAAATTATTTCTACTCATCAATTACTTATTATTAATATTCTTTAAACCAAAATATGGACAAATGTTCGACTCTCAAATGGATCTAAGTGAAGTAATGAATGAAGCTCAAAGACGATCAAGCAAATTAACTTCTTCAGACACTAGTGATTCAACTAGCAGTGATGATGATAGTGATCGTATTTTTAAATTTTATACAGCACATGGTAAAAGTGATCGAAAAACGAAATCAAATGACTTTGCGCATAAACGTTTTGAAGGTGACTTCTATTCACGAGGCTATTCAAGATATGGGGATGTGGATACAGAGTCGACAACATTTAAATATGCTGGTATTATGCGATCTAATGGTAGAAAGAGAAGAACCTCCTCTGATAGAGATACAATAGGCTCTTCAAATAGATATAATTATAAATATTTTAAAGATAATTTTAAAATTAAAGCAAAATCAAGAAATTATCAAAGAGAAGATGATAGTGAAACAATGGAAGCTCAAGGAGAGAAGACACGTCTCCAAGGAGAAATGCAAGACTCAACTTCTCTTAATGAGGAAGGGACTCGAAGCAATGAAAAAGTTGTCGAAAATGAAAGAAAAGATGTGCTGATCAAGGAAGACTCAGAGGATTCTGAAAAGAATGGAGGCATACCAAGATTTCCGACACTTATACCAAATCGGAATCAAGAATAGTAACGTAATAAAATGGCGTATATACATATACATGTATCCATATGTGGTTGTTTTATGTCAGCTTAAATCAGAAGTAATTATTATTCAACTTATCCCAATAATATTTTAATATTTGTTATACCTGAAAAAATGAAACATTGTTATAACGCCAATAAAATAATAATTTCATGTGTGTTATTTTTTTCTTTATAAATTCTGAACTTTCTAACTCTATCAAAGAAATGAAATTGAAAAGATCGTGGATTCGATGTTTTTAGCTGACTTTCTTTTGATAAGTACATAAGGTGAGCTAGACTGTAGAACTTAGTACAGATGACCTCCCTAGGATGTGTGTCGAGCATGCCAAACCACTCACTGCTTTCCTCACTTATAATAATAATAATAATTTGCTTTATTCCAAAACAGTTCTTGTGATACAGAATGGAATTCTCAGCATTTTTACTACAGTATTGCATCCAGTTAGTACATTATCAATAAATAGAATTCTACATAGATTAAGGAAATCTCAGTTCATTATGACAACAACATATTGGCATGTCGGTAGCAAAGGTAAAGCTGAACAGTGTTTGAAGGTGTTAGAAAAGTAGGTGCTGTCATATTTACTGGCGTAAGCGAGAGAAAGAAACAAAGCAGCACATAACGGAAAAAAAGAGAGAGAGAAAAGGAAAAGAAAGAAAGAAAATGTTGTACCTATAAATGATATGAGTTGGAAAGACGAGGTCCAGTTGTACTACTGACTATTTAATGAATTATAGGTGTCACGCCTAATGCTTTCTTTATCGCACAGAACACGAGCTAAGTAGGGTATGGTTGAGTTTTTGTACTTGCTGGTGCGAGCATATAGTTTTCTATATAGGCTTCTGGTTTTGCCTGATGAGATGCAAGGGGAGAGTTGTGAATGAAGAGGGTGGTGTGAGTTAAATAAAATGGATTTGGCCCATTTTCCACATGAGTCTTTGTGCCTGTCGACCAGAATATTAACAAGCTGGTTAAGTGGCACGTTGCTTACCCTGCTGACAACCTTTAACATCCTGCGTAATAAGGTATAGTCTTTCTTCAGTAGCCCTGGAAAAACTAAGGGGGAACAATAGAGAATAATAGGCAGAATGCGAGAGTTAACGAATTGTAGGAGTAAGGGTTGGGTTATACCAGAATGTTTTATCTTCTTGATGTAGAAGGTAAGACGGAATATTTTCTTAGAAATCGTCAAGATATGAGACGACCAGGAGAGATCAGCAGATAGAATGACGCCTAGGTATTTAATTTCTGACTTGGTTTCTATTTCAGTGCCATCTAATCAGTGTTAACTGACAATAGGAACAGACTAGAAAAGAGTTAAGAATGGTCAAACGAAAAAAAACCTGGAATCGGTCAAAGAAGTCTTTCACAGTTGAATTCAGCCGTCCACACAATGAGGTAGTGACTGTTTGCTTGAGGTCTTTAGGATTCTAAGAACCAATGACTGGAGACTATTTGCAATATTGCTTAGAACAGTTTTAAATGGCTCAGATTTATTCATTGTTTGCAATCTCCTAGGTATATATACCAAGTCATATTTCTTTATGCTACTGTTGTTTCTCGCGTATATCTTTAATTCCTTTGTATTTCTTTCTTCTATCATTGAAAAGTTTTTGTGTGTGTGATACACAGAATGCGGTAACTTGAATTGCTGGACTTCTGAGCAAAGCTGTATTTGGAAAATCGGTCAGTGTTCAAGGTACATCATTGATATTCCTAGATGTCAAAGATGATGTGTATTGAAGTAATCACATATACTTTGATAATATTGTTGAACAAGACATTCTGCCACGTAAACATCCTAAGGTTATCCAGTGATCTTCGTAGAATTACACTCTTGTTAAAGAACATATCTTTGTTTACTAAAGTCGCTTAACATTCAAACTGGTACTGTTTCTATTTTAATTGTAATTCATATGCATGCAAGAATGATAAGAAGTTGTTGATGGCCAACCTGTAAGCCAATGGTGGCAACATTTTACAAAACAATTTGTCCCAGTGGTCAACTGGTCCTCAAAACCTAAAAGGCCCTGAGTTTGATCACCGGTAGGGTGGTGTGTGTACTTCTGAAGATAGGAAACTTTGCCCTTTTATATGTTTACAACAAAAAGACTATGCAGAGATCACTCGTCTAGCTATCGACTAGTTTTGGTAATCTGCAGACTTTGATAAGATTTCTAATTTCGTGTTAAATGTCAGAGCAGTACACTAATGACATCTCTTAAATCACCAGCTCTACCTGAAACTAATTACGCTGATGGAGATAGAAATGAAGAGAGTGAGTTATCTGACTGTCAATTCCCCTGAAAGACTGCACGACTGATAGATATGTAGAAGGGTGAGTGGATAGTTGTAATTCCTTTGCAAGTTTGAATAAAGCAAAAAAGAAAACGGTCTGTGCAGGATAAGATGTTACCATCATTTATTTCGTTGGCTTCTCAACAGCTGCGTACAGCTTAAAGAAATTATTAACTTTGTGTACAGACTAATTTTAACATACTTGCAAATGTTACATAATGTCAGCTAATGAGAGGCTCCAATCTAATAAATTACGCATAGTTTATACCCAGAAACTTCAACTTTAAACAAAAATAAATGCTTGGATACAATGGCAGAAGAGTTACGTAACAGAAACAAGAGGTGAATAAGACGATGAGTGACTAATAAATTGAGTAACCGGTTGGTGACTTCATATCAAATCATAGAAACAAGAGACAAGCACAGGTACACTGCATAGATTACCGAAATACTTTCTGATGATAGCAATTCGATCTGATTCATTTACTCTCCTATTATTATTTTCAATCTTTTATTTATACTACTTATTATTCTGATTAAGTAGAATGCGTAATTCAGATATCAAGTACACAGATTTGTTACTCGTATCTTTAGTATTCCGTTTCATTAGAATTATCGACTGCTTATAGTTTAAAAATCTTATTATTTCTTCATTCCGCCTATATATATCGTAGTCGTTTAACTCATTCTTGCTGACTTCCCATCTCTCTTTGAAAATCCTTTCCTTTAGCCTTCTAGTTTAAGAGAATTAGGGAGATTTGGATTTAATTTCAACTGTTATATTTCGTCACGAACCAATATCAATTAGAGATCATTGAAAACCAGCAGGGAGTACTAGACAGATATTTCGTCCTGATTTGAGACTCTTCAGCAACTCAGTCTTGTAATCTGAAAGGCACAAATTTGATGCCTGGTGGATTCGTAGTTATGCACTGATGAAGAGCCCCAAACTAGGACAAAAGAGCTGTGCAGCAATTTCTGGCTTTTGCTGATCTCTAAATGATATTTTTCTGGAACGGAACCTAACAAGTGACATTGAACCTTCTGGTGTACCCCACAAATCCATGTGTTTTCGAGCATTTTAGCGGTCGTCTATTCCAGACATAGTTCTGTTATTTATGTCATTGACTTACTTACAGTGAAATCCTTTGATCGATAAGATGAAAAATTCTCTACTATTAGATATATGCAGCTTATCAGTGAATAGTGTACGTGGCCCAACTGCCCTGGTGGACAACCCAATAGTGCGTAGGTGTTTCATTGAGGAAATACCCGCCAACCATACAAGTGTTTCAGGTGTGATTCCCGGCCGATGCGCTCCTAATTTTCGCTTAGCCGGTAAAGAGGGGAGGTTTGGAGTTAGACTAGTGACCCAACTGCGTGAAGCGAAACAACCCACTGTTACTGGAAATTCTGGGCTCAAGCCTGAAGCCTCACTTCTCACTTGGAAAACAAAGGAATGAAGAAAATTAGACACAGGATAGTATCTCAGGGTAATTTTCTTGGTTGTGTTTCTCCAAGTATTCCTCACTGTCTTTATCTTCAAATTTCTCAGAAGAAATTACTGGTGGTTTTCTAATAATTATGAGAGTAAGCGTGCATCTTCTGTGGTTTTGTAGATTTTATTTACGTTTATAAACTGGTCCGTTTTCAGACTTTGGATGTAGAATCATTCAACAGCTATTATGTAGGTGCCCAGTGAAATTAAGTGTTAGGTCCTGCTGTATTAGACTTTTAGAGTGACGCATACTTGCTTTAAGATTTCCCGGTGAATAGTACTTATCTTTATGGTAAACATAGCAAGAAATAAATTGCGGGTCTGAAAACTAATAACCAGTTAAAAATATCGAAGGTAATTGAAGTTCTCATTAAATTGTACTGTCTGTATTAAGATACTCGGTCACCTTCTATCAGTAAATGTAAAAACACTTTCATAGCATGAATGTTGACAGTAAAAGTTAAATTGAGCAACATGATCAGACCTCATTTGGAATATGGGATCCAGGCAGCGAGCCCGCGTTTCAAATACGAAATAGACTTATTAGAAAGGGTGCAAAGAGTAGGAACTAAGCTAATAAAGGGTTTCTCAACCCTATCATTTGAGGAGATGTTAAATCGACTGGGTTTATTTCCGCTGTCATACAGACGACTTAGGGGCGACCTAATACTAGCATACCGTATCCTAAGAAATGATTTTGGAGCTAATTTATCTAATTTATTTCTTCCTTCTAGCACCAACCAATTGCGAGGACATCACCTCAAGGTTCAAAAACCACGGTCGAATCGTCTGCGTGAAAAGATCCGTTTTTCGCATCGAATTGTGAACCATTGGAACTCCCTACCGGAACACGTCGTATCAGCGCCATCCGTTGATTCATTCAAGGCAAGATTGAACCTCCTGTGTGCAACAAATCGAAAGGATTAACACAGGCATATAGCCTACTATCCTAAATAAATTGTAAACTGTAAACTGATTATTTAACTATTATTATTCTTAGTATACACTTCGTTGCATTCTGAGTGAGACAAATGGCTTCAAGCTTGTGCTTTGAAGTATCGGCAGCAGTGGTTTCATATTTGTGGGGTAAGCTTGCTAACCTCACACGCAACCTTCCCTCTTAACCAGGTTTACTAACGGCTTATAAACTAAGTTTGGTAATGCGTAGGCCCCGACTATCGGATCC